TAGTATCTATATTACTAATAGGAAACCTTAAATCAAGCATTCTAAATCAATACTTTTGATAATTTTATGAGGGAAACGATGCTATTTTGGGCCTGTTAAACTAGAGTTATTTTCGGTTATTCATTCAGAGGACATAAGAGAATTGGTTTCTAAAAGGTATTTCAGTACCCTGATTTGGCATTTTCTTAAAGACATGTGAAACAAGGAAATGACAGCTGTAAATCTGCCACGTGGAGCCTCAGGGGACTCACATCACTCCCAGGCCTTGGCTTCACTGTTGCTTTATGATGTGGTTTCAGAATAACACTTTTAGACGTGGTATATCCCTTCCTCCAAAGCTGACATAAATCCATAAAGCTTTTTAATGATATCTCTAAAATATAGCCCAAGTAGTCTCTGAAGCATATTTTTAGATTGTTTATCTAAAATATCTGGATTTCTGAATCTCCCTTCAACATCTGCCTTGGAATGGCTGTCTCCAGGGCAGCTGATAAGCGCATCACACCTCACCCAGGTGGGGACCACTCAGCTTCCTTCCCATCAGGTGCATTATTCTGCCTCAGCTTCCACTCCAAGCATCTCACACCCTCATGCACATAAGTATCACCTGGGAACCTGTGAGAAGTGCTGCCTCTCCAGAACCTCTGAGCTAAATCTGGGACTAGGCCTGGGGACCTGCATTATAACAGGCTTCCAGCAAAGTGGTCCCTGAAATGATGTCAGAGTCTCAGCTCTCCAGTTCTGGCTCCGGGATGAAGTAATGGGAGAGACACTAACATTTGAAAGCTGCGGTTCTTGCGGGTAATGCCCTGCACCTGTCACTCAGGTGCTGGGGTCTCTGCTGACCAGACCCTTCCCTCCCTAGGCTGGGTTCTGTGCTCCTCAGTGTTGAATGTCCAATGACCTGTCTTCTGCACATCAGCCTTCCTGCCCCACTCTGATTAGTTTGAATCCCCCAGCCTCCATCTCTAGCCTGCCTCCCACCCAACCTCCAAGCCCCACTTCTACCTCTTCCCTCCTGCGCTGCAGGAGCCTGTTCTCGGGCAATAACCCTCGCATTCTCTGGCAACCTGTCTGTGGCAAGTTGAACTGCGCAGTGTGTTTGCTGCCCCACCTGCCCCTCCTGACTCCTCTTCCCTCCCCTGTCCTCTGTTAGACACGTTTACGGAAGCCTGTCCTAGGAGCGTCCATCTGTCCCACCAGACTCTGAACTACTGAGGGCAGGGATCACCTGTGCCTTGCTCATGGGATCCCCAACACCCAGCTGAAATGTGGTGGGAGCCTCAGGGATCTCAAATGAATGACTGATTCTATAGAAGCACATGAGGCTAGACACAGTGGCTCATGCCTGTAATTCCAGCACTTTGGGGGGCCAAGGTGGGTAGATTACCTGAGGTCAGGAGTTCGAGACCAGTCTGGCCAATATGGCAGAACAAAATACAAAAAATTAGCCGGACGTGGTGGCGCATGCCTGTAATCCCAGCTATTCAGGAGGCTGAGGCAGCAGAATTGCTTGAACCTGGGAGGTGGAGGTTGCAGTGAGCTGAGATCACGCCATTGCACTCCAGCTCGGGCAACAAAAACAAAACTCCATCTCAAAAAAAAACAAATTTTTTAAAGCACATGAATTTTGTCCAGGCAACATGATGCCTCAGACTTCAGACCCTCTCACTGCCAACACACTGTGCCCTCAGCTAGAAAGCTGGTCCTCATCCCTGCCACCTGTACATGGCTACCCACCTCTGGCTCTTTGGGTCCCAGCTTAGATGTCTTTTCCCACAGCAAGTTTTCCAGTGCCCCTGTGTTTTAGGAGCCCCTGTGTCTGCCTGAGCCTGCACTTACCCCTCTGCATTCTAATAATCTGTTTATCTGAATCCTCTTCCAGATCCAGAGCTCCTTAAGAGCAAGAATGGTAACCTCAGCACCAGCGTCATGCCCAGCATGCAGTCAGTGCTCAATAGATGTTTGCTGAAAGCTAACTCAGGACCTTTAGGCAGTGAGATGGGGTTCTCATCACATAGTTGCTAAATAAACCGCCGTAACATTCGCTGTATTGCACTCAAACTCTGGATGCTTCTCCTCCCACACCCACTGCTAGATGGAAATCTTCTCACAGGAAGTGACTGTATTTTGTTCATCTTCACACTCCAGTAAGTCAGGCAGCAATGAGCATGGATTAAGTAGCTGTTCAATCCTGTGTTTTCCAAGAAGGATACTTTTGGCATGTGGAGGAGGAAAAAAAATTTTTTTTTTTTTGACGGAGTCTCGCTCTGTCGCCCGGGTTAGAGTACGGTGGTGCTGTCTCAGCTCACTGCAACCTCTGCCTCCCAGGTTCAAGCAATTCTCCTGCTTCAGCCTTCCAAGTAGCTGGGATTACAGGTGTGTACCATCGTGCCTCACTAATTTTTTTGTATTTTTAGTAGAAACAGGGTTTCACCATGTCGGCCAGGCTGGTCTTGAACTCCTGACCTCATCATCTGCCCACCTTGGCCTCCCAAAGTGCTGGGATTATAGGCATGAGCCACCTCGCTCAGCCAGCCAGGAGAATTCTTAATTGCATAAGACAGCCCCACACATTGCAGGACACACAGCTGTCCTTGCCCATGCCCACTAAATTTCATTGGTAACCCCACAGTCATTTTGACAACTACCCCGCCTACACACACAGTTGCAAAAGTTTTGAGGGTAAGAGGGCCAGGAGGAAAATTGCACTCCCCATAGTTGAAAACCTATGGTTAAGTCTTTTCCCTGCAACTTGGTGAGAAGCAATGGACTCTATAACCGTGCTGTGGTGGATTGTATGTGTCAACCTACATAACAGAGAGAGGCTCCCTAAAATAAAAGTTATTTCTTTGGAAATAAAGCATTACAATGGAAATGTGCATGCCATAGTAAACTGTGCATATTCAGTGAGGTGAAGGCAAAGGTTTGTAAAGGGAAAAGGAGAAGGAGTATCTAATTGTTTTGAAATAATTATCCTTGGCTAAAAGATCAGTAAGAAAGGTGACACCCGTCCAAGGTTGGACAGGCAAATTCTGGGCAGATGTTCTTGAAGTATTTTTTGTGTAAGGTTTCAAAGGTTTTTGTGCACTGTTGTGCTTTTTGCAGAGTCTTTGTGGTAGTTCTTGTGATCAAGCATTTATTCATGAAACACTCCCCTCATGCCCTTCCCCAGCTCCATTTCTCAGGTTTTTGGTTTTTTTTTTTTAACATTAGTAACTTCATTTTGATTGTGACAACTTTCACACATGTGTGTGGTGCTGTGCGGTGGGGGACGGGGCTGTCGCCCTCAATATACAGTGATCGCCTGTCTTTGTGGTAACAAACAGTTCACTAATCTTTTCTGAGCACTTACATATTCCAGGCACTAAGCTATGCATTATACAGTTTATCTAATCCTCAAGACCACCTGTGAGGCCCCATTTTTTAGAGACAAAACTGAGGCTGAGAGAGTTTCAAGACATTAACCCAAGTTAACACGGCTGCTACAGACAAGGGCAAGGTATACCCCCATGCATCGGACTTCACTGCTCTGTGCCGACCTCTTTGGCAAGAACAAACATCAAAATTCCCAGATGGAAGACTCTCCCATTAATTATAACGTAGAGAAGTTTAGCAAAGTATATTCTGCATGGTGTTAACTTAGTGGGATGTCAAGTGTTGCGAGATTAATGGTTGCATGGGGGATGGAGTGTGAGAAATGCTTTCAGCAAAGCCCTTGTAGACGGCCATGAAACAGAAACTATGAAGACCACAGGAGCCCTAGGGTGGCTCAGCCCTTCACAGTGAGTCCAGGGTGATTTAGAACATTGCTGAGCAAACAGCAGGGCGACTTTGGCAACAGGACCTTGCTGGCCACAAAGTGCCTAATAGCCAGTAGGCACTGCTCAGGCTCTAGGAAGAGGCTGATGCAGGAAGGGTTTCTTTCTTCTAAATTATCAATAATAATAACAATGGATACTGTTTATTGAGTATTAATTACTCTCTACTTCACAGATGAAATACCAAGGCCTAGAAAAATTCATTAAGTAACTTTTCCTGAGGCCACACAGCTATTTAGTGGTAGAGTCAAATTTGAACCCAGTTCTCTCTAACTTGGAGACATGTGATTGTAAACCCTCTGCACCAAGCCTCTAAGGACCCAGGGTTTATCCAAGACTTTCCTATGTGAGTATCCAAGCAAACTCAGGCTCAAGGAGGATGCCCCTATGAGTTCTTTGTACCAGGGATTTATTTTCGGCATGTCTCTTCAACCCAAAAATTAGTTCCTTGGTCTGAGTACGTGAAATTTTGTTCAGGGTATGTGAACTTTTTTTTATTAATACATGAAATTTTTTTCCGGTATAATGTAAGTTTCTTAAATTTTGCTATTATTTTTTAAATTGTATAGATTTCCATATGATATGGTTTGGCTCTGTCCCCACCCAGATCTCACATTGTAGCTTCCCTAATCCCCACATGTTGTAGGGGGTACGTGGCGGGAGGTAATTTAATCATGGGTGTGGGTCTTTCCTGTGCTGTTCTTATGATAGTAAGTCTCACAAGATCTGATGGTTTTATAAATGGGAGTTCCCCTACACATATGCTCGCGCTCTCTCTCTCTCTCTCTCTCTCTCTCTCTCTCTCTCTCTCTCTTGCCTGCCGCCATGTAAGACATGACTTTGCTCCTTCTTTGCCTTCCACCATTATTGTGAGACCTCCTTGGTGACATGGAGCTGTGAGTCCATTAAACCTCTTTTTTTTTTTATAAATTACCCAGTCTCCAGTATGTCTTTATTAGCAGCGTGGGAACAGACTTCTACATCATGCTTTGTTACATGCTTTTTTTTATTTTGATACAAGTATTTGTGTTGATGACATAACATCTTTCTGCATAGAACTTAGTCAGATGCCCTTCCTGGAACCAGCGTTTACCCTCCATGAACTGCTGGAGAGGATATTGTATGATATCAGCATCAGACCTCTCCTCATTTTTCAACTCCCTCTTTCCTTTATAATAGATGTTGGTGCATTTTTTGAAGAAGGCATGTGGCTACGATATAACTTCCAGGCACCAGTAATCAATGCCAGAGACTCCAGCAGCAGAGTAGAGAACTCTCCCGACCAGCAGAACTCCCACCCAGACCTGGCCCAGGAGGAGATCCGCTTCAGCTTCAGCACCACCAAGGCGCCCTGCATTCTCCTCTACATCAGCTCCTTCACCACAGACTTCTTGGCAGTCCTCGTCAAACCCACCGGTAAGGACAAGGATACCAGCCTCTGCCATTTAACGTTGGGCAGATGGAATGTTCTAGCAAGAATCTATAGATTGTTCTTGGTTTGTTCTTTATTTCCCATGGGCCTTGTTGAACAAGTCACATAACTTCTTTGAACCCCATTTCTCTCTATGAAAATCAGGAAAACAACTCGCCAGCTGGGTGTGTTAGAGCAAGGTGTTAGAATAATAATGTTGGTGAGGCATGTTGTGTTCTTTACAAGAATACTATTGCATGAATAAGGGGTGGGTTTGTGTGTGTAATGATTATTTTTCCTTCTATTAAATAAACACATTTGGCTGGACACTGTGGCTCACGCCTGAAATCCCAGCCCAGCCTGGCCAATATAGTGAAACCTCATCTCTACAAAAACTACAAAAACTAGCTGGGTGTGATGATGCATGCCTGCAGTCCCAGCTACTCAGGACGCTGAGGTGGGAGGATCACTTCAGCCCAGGATATCAAAGCCGTAGAGAGCCACGATCATGCCACTATACTCCAGGCTGGGCAACAGAGTGAGGCCCTGTTTCAAAAAAAAAAGACTAATAAAAAAATACAGAGATTCACTCCTGTGCTAAACAGAGATGGGATTTGGATGAGTAAAATTAATTTTACTTAAATCAATTTTATCCTAATTTGTGATCGTATACCGGTAGGTTGCTACAGAGCATTTGAACTTTCAATAGAAATAGAAAATCAGAAATGTTTTCATTCCCAATCCCCTCAGAACTTTACATTCACAAAATATATCACCATCATAAAAGTTGCTTAAAGCAGGAGTTTATTTTTTTTTATTAATTTTTTTTGTGAGACAGGGTCTTGCTTTGTTGCTCAGGCTCGAGTGCAGTAGTGTGATCACAGCTCACTGCAGCCCTGACCTCTCAGGCTCAAGTGATCCTCCCACCTCAGCCTCCCAGGTAGCTGGGACCACAGGCACACATCACCACTCCCAGCTAATTTTTTAAATGTTTTATAGAGATGGGGATCTCACTATGTTACTGGGCCTGGTCTTGAACTCCTGGACTCAAGCTATTCTCCTGCCTTGGCCAAAGTGCTGGGATGACAGGCAAGAGCCACCATGCCTGACCCGGGGGTATATTTTTACTTGTAATATCTTGGGCCGTCTTGGTCATCAAATATACATTGAGCCAGAGAGGATCTGGGTACATCTAAAACCGGCATCCTGATGAGAATGTACAAATGCACTTGTGACCCTCAACAGTGACCTCTGAGAGACGTCCAAGAAGCCCTGAAGTGTACAAACTTGCTGAACATGGAGAAGTCCATTTCCTCTCTGAAAATGAACTCATACATGCTTAAGGTTCTAAGATCACTTTTTTTAATTAATAAAAATATTTTAAGAGCATACAGGAACAAATCTCCCTGACTCACTTTCCATTGGAGCTGTAAAAGTGGGGGCTCTCTCTCCCACTGCCCACTGTTTCCTGGCCTTCAGTGATTATTCCAGTGTTATGGCATCTTAAAGAGCAAGATTTTTGGCTGAGCACTGTGGCTATAATCCCAGCTCTACGGAAGGCTGAGGCAGGAGGATTGCTTGAGGCTGGTAGTTCAAGATTAGCCTAGGCAACATAGCAAGACACCATCTCTACCAAAAATAATTTTAAAATTAACGGGGTGTGGTGATGCATGCCTGTGGTCCTAGCTGCTCAGGAGGCTGAGGAAGGAGGATCGCTGGAGCCCAGAAGTGCAAGGCTGCAGTAAGCTATGATCACGCCACTGGACTCCAGCCTGGATGACAGAGTAAGGCCCTGTCTCTAAAATAAAATAATTTAAAAATAAGAAAAAAGGAATATCAAGATTTTTTCCATGGGAGCCAGAATTGTTATTACTAACTTAATTCAGCTTGAATTTTAAAGAACAGTAAATTCTTAAACTCCCTCTCTGGGCAATGCACTGTTGCTTTAAAAAGATGGAGGAAAAAGTATGTTCCCTGGGATTTTCCCCTTCTGAAATTATTCCTAAGGAAATAAGCCAAAAGCCAGAGAAAGATTCAGTATGCAGATGTTCATCATCATGTTAATTATAAAAATAAAAATTGAAAAGAACCTGGAAGTTCAACTTTAGTAAAATAGTAAAAGAGGGAGTCAACATCTTATGAAATATCATGTATCTATTAAAATATTTATGAACAGTGATTAACGATATGGGGAAATTTTATGTACTATTATGTTAAACCAAAAAACAAAAACAAGATCCAGGCTTGGCTATGAAATATTAACTCTGTAAAAAAATATATGGATAGAAGGCCGGGCACAGCAGCTCACGCCTGTAATCCCAGCACTTTGGGAGGCTGAGGCAGGTTGATCATGAGGTCAGGAGTTGGAGACCAGCCTGGCCAAGATGGTGAAACCCCGTCTCTACTAAAAAATACCAAAAAAACAAAAATTAGCCAGGTGCGGTGGCAGGTCCCTGTAATCCCAGCTTCAGGGAAGGCTGAGGCAGGAGAATTGCTTGAACCCAGGAGGCGGAGGTTGCAGTGAGCAGAGATGGTGCCACCACACTCTAGGCCTGGGTGACAGAGCAAGACTCCATCTCCAAATATATACATATATACCAGCAAACTGCTGGTAAAAGTCAAATTTCTCACACTTCAAATACAACATGTTTTTATTAATTGAAATTTAAAGTTAGAAAAAAAAGGAAAGCATTAGGGAAAAGCATCAATAAGGTCTATGCCAAAATATCGGGAAAAAGCTACTAGAAAGTCTCCACTAAATGCCCTGGCATCACTCGCACTTCACCTGTCAAAAGCTCTGCTCACTGTTCTCCAGAGCCAGCTGCCCCAGCGCCACCCCTTCCCCTTAGACACTTGCATTCCCAAGCTCAGTGTCACTCACCAGTGCTCGGTTCTTCCCTGCTCTTGTGGGTCACCCAGGCAAACATGTCCCGTGATTGAACTCACGGTGTCCTTTTCCTCCCACCACTACTCTCTCAGGCTTCCCAGTACTATTCACATCATGATGTTCGTAGAAAATTCTTAAATTTGAATGGTACCTGGGTCAATGAATGAGGTCATGTTTTGGAGGCCACCTGCCCAGTGACTCCAGCCGCTGTCCCCTTCTGCTGGTCTGCCGAGGTCTGAGGGGAGCCTTGCTCCTGGTACCCCGTCGCCCATCTTGAACAGCAGTAGTCTTCAGCCCATTGGCTGGGAAATTCTCTCCCAATCCATCTCTCTGCTTCCAGGCTCTCCCACCTCACCCCTTTCCACCACAGCCAGCATTGCCTTCCTTTATAGAGTGTCTTATTTTCTGTGGCTTATAACAGAATACCTGAAACTGAGTAATTTATAAAGTAAAGGAATTTATTTCTTATAGTTATAGAGGCTAAGAAGTCCAAGGTCAAATGGCCACATCTGGTGAGTTCCCTGGTGGGAACTCTCTGCAGTTCTGAGACAGTGCAGGGCAGGGCAACGCTAAGCATGCCAGCTCAGGCCTCTCATCCTCTTCCTATAAGACACCAGTCCCACTCCCATGAGAACCTGTTAATCCATTAACTCATTAATCCATAAATCTGTGAATGGATCAATCCATTCATGAGGACAGAGCCCTCACAATCCAATCACCTGTTAAAACGGTTCACCTCTCAACATACCCACATTGGGGATTAAGGTTCAACTGGAGTTTTGGAGGGGATATTTAAACCATAGCAGAGGGATATTGTTTAAAAGCGATCTAGTATAATATCCGTATTAAACACTCGGTGGTGCCTCAGTTCATCAAAACCAGGAGAGATTCCCCAGTCCCACAAACACTCAATCAAGACCCACCAACCTCATGAGTAAGAGCTTGGTCTGTAGAGCTAGACCATCTGGGTTTGAGGTCGGCTTTGCCTTTTGTCAGGTGTCGTGGGCAATCAATTGGCAGCTCTCTGCTTCCATTTGTTCATCCATAAAATAGTGTCTCCCTCACAGGAGTACTGTGACACTCAAATGACGATAAGCACATGTCAACAGTCATTATTTCCCAGGTCCACATTTTGATACATATTCAACACCCCCTATTCTTTGTTTTCAAGAAACTCAGTACCCCTCAAACACTCTGTGGTCATCTGTGCCCCTGACTTTGTGCCCGAAATGCTCCCTTACCTAGAAATGCCCCATCTTCCTCTCTAGCCAGACACCTGCCTTTCATTCTAGGCTGAGATCAAGTCCCACCTCCTTGCAATGACTTCTCCTTGCTTTAAACTCCTCTTCCACTTATTTTCAATGTCATTTGTTTGGCATTTAATGTACCGTATTGTTATCTGTCTCTGTTATAAATATTCCCTGTCTTCCCAGAGAGATGAAAAGCTCCCAGTACTACATCTCCTGCCTACAATAGGTATCCTGTAAGTGTGTGCTGATGATAATGATGATGACCGGGAGAGAATAAATCTGTTAAGCATGTTATTTGCTGCAGCCAAAAAAGAGCAGTCCCTTCTAACTGCTTTAATTCACTTGGGAGATGAACGTCAGACACAGAAGCAAAGCACCTCAGCATTTGAATAATATTTTATTTTAATGGACAAATACCAGCAATCTTCCCACCATCATTTAGTGGTCCTCTTCTGCTATTATCTGAAAGGAATGAATACATCATTTAAATTTAATTATTCAAAATATCACCATGACTGTTTATAGATAGTCACTATGTATAAATGTAAAGTACCAACTCATCTTTTTCTGCTAAAAGAAAATAATTTCTGTTGTCATTAGGTGAAGCAGTAATAGGAATTTAAAGTCATATTTACAAAGTCCAAGAAAGGGCAGAAAAGAAAAATAAAAGAAAACAATGCTGATTTTAATAGAGCTGAGGAACATAAAGGGGACAATTACAGAGTGACAACCGAAAGGGAAATGTCCAGCATTTTGCATAATTGCCAGTTCCTCCAACCTCTAGGCCTCTGTGTGTTTGTAACGTCAGAGCCACACACACTGTCTGACCCTTACTGGGGGATGGGCATGGCTGTGTGTATTATAAGTGGACCCCACACTCGTAACCAGGCAGAAAGCCTGTTTTCAGACCTTGAAAAAAGCTGTGCTTTGCACAGGAACTAAATACACGTGTTCTGAAGAAATGAATAAATGATAAATAAAGGCAGCTGTGTATTTAAGAAAACTGATTGGGATGATATGACGTCAGAATACCAGAAATAAGGCAGAGAGTAAAGACCTAAGACAATCAACTTGTTTTTTTCTGCATGTTGCCAAACAACTGCCTGATCATCTCCTTCACTCCCAAACAATGAATTATTTTAATGCTATCAGGTAAAGGAAAAACCAAGTAAACATGGAAGGGTGGAGAGGAAAGCAGCTCAAGAAGTGGGAGCAGCATATTCAAGGTAGGGAGGAGATCGTATTTTCTAGGGAATAAGAGAAGTTCATGGTAGCTTGAATGTAAAAAGTGAGACAGTGAGTGGCAGGATTTGAAGATAAAGTAACAGAGGAACACACATCAGACAGGGCATTGCAAACTCTATTTGGAAAGTACATCTTTATTCTGTAAAGAACTGGAAGGCTCTGAAGGATTTTAAATGACCCAATAAAATAATCAATTATGCAATTTGCAAACATTACGAAGAAGAAAGTGCAGAATCAGGGAGACTGTTTTAGTTTGTTCTCACACTGCTATGAAGAAATACCTGAGACTGGGTCATTCATACAGGAAAGAGGTTTCATTGACTCACAGTTCCGCATAGCGGGGGAGGCCTCAGGAATGGTGGAAGGGGAAGCAAACATCCTTCTTCACATGGAGGCAGGAGAGAGAAGTGCATAGCAAAGGAGGGAAAAGCCCCGTGTGTGTGTGTGTGTGTGTGTGTGTGTGTGTGTGTCAGAGTTTCACTCTTGTTACCCAGGCTGGAGTGCAATGGCTGGATCTCAGCTCACCGCAACCTCCACTTCCTGGGTTCAGGCAATTCTCCTGCCTCAGCCTCCTGAGTAGCTGGGATTACAGGCACACGCCACCATGCCCAGCTAATTTTTTGTATTTTTAGTAGAGATGGGGTTTCACCATGTATTGACCAGGATGGTCTCGATCTCTTGACCTCGTGATCCACCCGCCTCGGCCTCCCAAAGTGCTGGGATTACAGGCGTGAGCCACCGCGCCCGGCCCCTTTCTAAAACTTTTTAATAAACTGTCACTCCTGCTCTAAAACTTGCCTCAATCCTCCCTCTGCCTTAAACCTACTTCTGCCCCTCGGCCGCTTTCTTTCCTCGAAGGAGGAGGCAAGGATCAAGTTTGCTGCAGACCCTTAGGGATTTGCCTTCAGTAACAGGATCCCCGTGGAAACAGCTATGAATACAAACAGAATATGCTTCAGGGCTGGTCTCTGGGGACTGCAAGAGTAAGGGGCCCCAAAATAAGGGGAAAAACAGGTGGAGAAAGAAAACTTAAGAGCGCGCGCTGGAGGCCAGGTGTTTCCAGGAGGTGAACTCGGTGCCGAATGAAGACGAGGCCTGAGACAGACCATTGCCTCTACTTCCCCAGGGGTCATGGGGCCCAGCAAGAGCAGGACCGTGAAGCAGGGAAGACAGAAGTGAGACAAAGGGCTCATGCTAAAATAGGGACGGGTTTGGAGGCAGTGAGTGTGCCCATCTCTTTTCATGGGATCCCGAGCGAAGAAAAGCAAAGGAAGAGAGGACTCACTTGAGAGTGAAATGAGGTCAAGAGGAGTAATTGTTAAAGAGGAGGCTGATTAAGACCCACCGTCTCCTGCAATCCAGGCAGAGAAGCCGGTGCAGGTGAAGCACAGGTGAGGATGAACCAGGAGCTTTGTGTGGGTGGCGCTGCCTTAGCCAGGGAGCAGGCTCCCTGTGGAATTCACGGAGGACACCGCAGGGGCCAACGGAGAGCCTGTGGTTACCGAAGTAGACACGAGTGGGGGAATTTAGATAGATTTAGGAGACAAAACTGCACGGTGCTTAGTTTAAATGCCAGAGGCAAAGGAATCTAGGATGACATGATAAGGTAAAACTCAGAAACAGTGAAGGTTTGTTGAATTTCATTTGAAAAAAAAAATAGGAAACGTAATTAACTCTTGATTTTCTAACAAATGCTTCTTTGAAATCCAGGAACATGGATTTCATGTATAATGTCAGAATGCCTAAATAAAAAAGAGCACTGTGTGTGTGTGTGCACGCATGAGAAAACTCTGGAAGGAGATACTGCCAAATATTTAGAATAATTATATTTGGTTGGTGGGATTTCAGGTGACTTTCTTTTATATTTATATTGTTTACTCTCTCTGTTTTAATTAGCATGTTTTATTTTGTAACTGAAAAATCAGACTATCAGTCTTGTTCCCCTTAAAAGAAAATGAAAGGTAACAAATAATCCATTAGGTGATTTACAGTTGGTCAAATTCTTGCTAGATTGCTGGTTCCATTTTTAAGCTGTGAGATGTCAACATGAAAATTCCAATTTGAGTAATAAATGAGATAAAATATTGATGTCTTTAAAAATCATAACTAAGATATAACAGTTATGCTGGCAGATTAACTAAAAACAGTTATGCTGGAAGGATCTACATTGTCATATTGGTTATTTTGAATATTATTTTATATTGTTGGGAAGAAGCAAGGAGAAAAAAAGAATATGCCATTGAGCAAAGTGAATATCACTGAGGCCAAAAGGGGACTCGGGGGCCTGGGAAAGCCATCTTTCCCTTTGATTTCCATTTGGTTAGTCTGTAAGCTAAAATAAAATTTATTACTTAGTCTCGGTGAGGCCACCCAAAATCCCATCTTTAAAAACTGTTGTCTATTTTTAAAATTTTATGCTCATGATTCTTTTATAAGCCCAATGTCACACTCTGCTGATGGAGTGAGAACATCCCTGCATTCTGCATTTGTTGTGTTTTTTCTTTTCATTTCACATAGTATTTCGTGGGGCCTGCAGATGTCTCCTCCCGCAGTCCTATACTGTATATGCTCTCACTCTTCCTGTCCAGGCACAATCCCAGCTTGGATCATTTAAACCATTTGCAGCTTCAACTCTGAGCCAGAGGTCACTGAAGTTCGCTGTGGGCAGATTGTAAATATATGCAAGCCTAGTGCTGTCAGCCAGCCTGGGTCAGCAGGCCTCTCAGCTCGTGAATCCAAATTCAAATCTCGAATGTTGTCTGTGGACATCCAGGAAGGGGGTAGAGTTGATTTGAAATCTAAGAGCAGGGGTTGTGGGGGATGTGGCATTAAAATGAAACTAAGACCAAACAAATTAGTGAGCTTCTTTCCTTTTTCTTCCACAGGAAGCTTACAGATTCGATACAACCTGGGTGGTACCCGAGAACCATACAATATTGACGTAGACCACAGGAACATGGCCAACGGCCAGCCTCACAGTGTTAACGTCACCCGCCATGAGAGGACCATCATTCTCAAGGTATATGTACGTGTACGTGTAAATTACGTATAACAGAGCGTTATCGTCCCTGTCCCTTGGTTTTGTTTTGAGAGGATAGAAGTGGAAGAGATGCTTATTACACTTTCTCCTACAAGTGCTTAACTAGTGAAGTAGAAATATACATAATTCTGACAAGGAAAGACAGTGATGAAGTTGATGACATTTTTTAGGGGGAAACAGAATAAATGTTTATTTTGTATAGTCTTTCTGGTTTTCCCAGTTCCAGACCCACATATCTATCAGTTTACTGTTTTTATCCGTTGCACCATCTTTCTTCACCAAGCTCTCAGACGTCTGAAACTTATCCTGTTTCCCAGCAAAGGTTATTTTGGTTTCTCTGACCCACTTCTTTCATTACTCCAACACAATACAAAAAGCTGTAATTTTTTTTTTTTCACTCTGCAGAGTCTTTGCCTTAAAAATCCTCAAAACAGTCTTTCCCCAGAATCTCAGACTCTGGTTGTAGGCTTTCGGCACACAAAGGGATGGTTTTATTATGCCACTCAAATTTTATTTCAGATTCATTGATGACCCCTGCCCCCACCACCAATTTTTACAGTAAAGAAACCAGCCTGGGAAACACCATGAATAAAACATAATGTGAGAAGGTCTCCCTGGGAGCTAGGCCAGGAGATCAAGGATGGGAACTGTCACTGCATTCTCTAGAAGGAGTTCAAAATAGATACCTGTCAGGAGAAAGAACAGCAGGAGGACGCTGTTTTGTCAGTAAAGTGGAGTGTCATTTGGCAGGGGTTCAGCAGCCTCTCAGACCTCATTCCGATTCGGCTGGTTGCTGTGGGAAGTTCACGTTGCAAAGAAAAGGCACAAGCCCTGTCTCTTCCGAGCACGGGTGGATGTCAAATTCATAACTTGATATGGAGTTTGCACGTGGCCTTTAGCAGTAAATGCTAGAGGGCATTTTAAGGAGGGGTCTTTCCTAGGAAACTGACACACGCTGTTTCAGCCTGCTGCACCATCAATCAAAGGTGGCGTAATAACGTTCTCTCATCATGATCAACGGAGTCCCAGAGCCAGCACGGTGCCTGGCACACATGAGGGGCGGCAGATTCCTTATGGAGTAAACCAAGCCCATCTTTAACCAAGTTTTAGTCAGAGAAGCCAGCAAGTCCACGAGACCGATGGTTTTATACCGTTTCATCAACATTGTCTTCCTCGGCTTTTGATTAGAGACTTCAATTTTAAACCACCCAATATGTCACCTGTTTTTAAAAAGGTGACGTATGTTGCCATTTCACCATTACAAAATGATATTAAAACTTAAATAAACCTGAACCATCAGCTTTTCAGACAGTATAACAGTGGAGACACACCACAGCCATAGAATCATATGGAGTTAACTCTCACTCTGCCACAGTGAATTAGAGAAGGACTTGACAAAGGGGAGAAGAATGGATGATTTTTAAAAGGTGGGGCTTTGGAGGCACAAAAAGCCAAAGATCTAGATAGTGGAGAAGCCAGAGACCTCCAGAGAATCCAGGGGAGGAATGGGTTTGGGGGAGGGTCTGGTTCTATTGCTCAAGATTCCTTTGGATGCAAATGATCGAAAAGCAATTCAGAAGTAATTTGTTGGGGAAAATTTCTAAGATAGGTCATAGAATTATAGAATTTGAAAAAGATAAAAACAAACTTTGGGAAGAGAATCTAGGGAGCCTGGAGAATTAAAACTATGGACCAGAATACCACTGGGTTTCTCTCTCCCTTCCTTCCGTCCGTCCGTCCCCGCCTTTCTTTTCCATTCTCATCTCTGCCTCTCTCTGAAGCCTAGATTGATTAGCTCTTACTGCAAGCTCCATCTTTCACATATCCTGGGGCACAGTCACAAGGCTCCTGGGCTCATGTCTTCCCAAATTTGCTACCAGAAGAAAGGGTCCCAGTTTCTTGACACTCGTTTTAAAATCCCAGGGAATCTCTCATAGGCGTGGCTGGAGTCATGTGCTCCCGTTGTTGTGTGCAAGGGGGAACAAGGACCCATAGTCCTTAATCACGCCTCTTGATTAGAGTGGGGAACTTGGGAAACTCCCTCAAGAGAACAGAACTCAGTTCCAGAAAAAGGAAGGAGACAGGGTGACAGGAGTGAAAACATTGGATGCATGATTCTGAGGTAGGAGAGGAGATAAACCTGGGAAGTACTTCCTCGATTCTGCCCTAGGTTCTGCACCTAGAGGTTCTGGGAAATCCGGCTCTCCCTCCTTCTCTATTATGTAACATTACTGACTGCACTGTGATTTCTGAATTCCCCAACCCGCGTGAGGGCAGCTAGGAAAGACATCACGGCCTGGGGAGCTCCAAATCTCTCAGCCCCAGCCTGTCCCTTCTACCCTGGGCCCTGCCCACTCCTGGGGGCAAAAGGAAAATAAAGATAGGGTGGTAGAGGGAGACAAGATGTGGCTGTCCTTATGGAAAAGCAGATACCAGGACTCCTCACTCCCATGCCCTGCTTTCTTTCAGGCAGGGAGGCCTGGCAGAGCATGGAAGTAATTCTGAAAGTGCTTTGGAACACCAAAAAACACCAATTTTTTTCTTAAAACAATCTGCAAATCCATCTTGAGAACTTGTGCAGCCTCAACTATGTGTGGAAAGAGATATAATAAAATGTTAACAGTGATCATTTATGTGTGAAGGGATTATAAATGGTTTATTTCCTCTAGACTTTCCTATTTCCTCATTTTCTATTATAAGCATGTATTTCATTTTCATAATCAAACAGAAACATGAAACAGCCATCTATTCTCAACCTATTCTGGTAGCCCCCCCACACCCCCAGTTACAATAACATATGCTATCAAAGGTATTTCAATAATTTCAAATTAACATTTACTTATAATCAAAGAACAAAAATAAGGCCCATGCAAAGATGAGTTTCGCAGTGTTATGGATGATGCCTTTGGAATTAAGTCAATGTTTATGCATTTATACATGCCCAGACATCATATAACTTAGATGTTCTTCATCAGCGTTAATGGTGTCTTTAAAAGCAGGTTTACTTTCATAGCTGGGTTTGGCTAAAGCTAACATTCAATTAATCTGCATTCCCTCAGCACACACCCTCGGAAACAGTGCTGAGCACTTGAGGGAAACTGACCTTGGATGAAACATTTGCTGCCCAAAAAACAAAGTGCCCAATCTCCACACAGATAACAAGAAGCTGACTGCAGTCGTTATCGACACCAGCGTGAACCAGAAGCCATGACCTACCTCCAGTGGCATCATTCGTGAAAACTCACAGTTGCATCAGGGATGATAGCTTATGGCTTAATGCCAGTCAAAATATAAATAAACGCAATGCAGCTAGAGAGCACCTGAAGAAGTCTGGCATGCAGTGAAACATTGTGTCGATTCGCTTGAATCCGAAAGCTAAACATTATAATCAGCAATTCCAAAGTCTTATGCAACTAGCCCTTTCATCTTTCTTTCCTTCCTTCTTGCTATCCATGTTTCTTTTTCTTCCCATTTTTTCCTTCCTTCCCAACCACATTGCACAAGGGATATAAGGGGGTTTACAGGGAGAATATTAAATGAAAGAGAGAGTTAATGGAAGTCACAAAAAGTAAGTCCCCAAGATCGGAGGAAATAGAACATGATTATTCAGGTCACAAGGGCTTGCCACTTGGATAAATTTGACTGTGAACTTCTCAGCAGCCAGAAGTATGCAACCCATAAGGATAAACTAAGCCAGTTCCTCTCTAGAATTGAAACTTTCCTTACTATATCATTTTTATTTTATTTTATTCCATCGATTATATTTACTGCCATAGAAAATGCCCATAGCATATGCCACTTTTGCAATATCACATACACGGTAACAGCTCACAGGTATTGATGCTTACTATCTCCGAGGCAATATGCTAAGCACTTTATACACGTTTTCTCATTTGTCACAAAAACTTTATGAAGTATGTGTGGTCACATTGCCATCTGATGTGTTTTGGAGTGTGCCCTTGTCTAAATCTTATGATAAATTGTAATCCCCAGTGTTGAAGGAGGAGCCTGGTGGGAGGTGATTGTGTCATGGGGGTGGATTTCCTCCCTGATGTTCTTGTGATAGTGAGTGAGTTATCATGAGAGCTGGTTGTTTAAAAGTGTGTGGCATCTCCTGCTTTGACCTCTTCCTCCTTCTCAGGCCATATAAGACGTGCCTGCTTCCCCTTTGTCTTCCGCCATGATTGTAAGTTTCCTGAGGCCTCCCCAGCCATGCTTCCTGTGGCTGTGGAACTGTGAGTCAATTAAACCTCTTCCTTATAAATTACCCAGTCTCAGGTAATTCTTTATAGCAGTGCAAAAAACTAACATACCATCTTAGAGATGTGAAAACTAAAGTTCAGAAAGTAAGATGCAACCTACCCAAAGTTAGAAAGCAGTAAATGGCCACAGCATAGTCAAACCCAGGTCTGTCATACTTCAAAGTATACACAGGCTCTTTACCCTTACTTAATAGATAGATGTCTGGAAGGATGTTCACAAAATTTTAGAAGTGGATACCTCTGGCTGGTAAGAAATTAAGTGATATTATGGTTATTATCATAAGATTGTTCAAAATATGCAAAAACACAGAGAATAATATACCATATGCAATGTGCCCACCATTGAAACATTACAGATTTTGACATTTTGCCCTATTTATTCAGATTGCTTTTAAATGCAGCGATAATTGAGAGCCCTCTGTCCTCCTTATTACATACTGGGCTCTGAGAAGAGTCAGAGGCAATGCCTTCAACAGTATTTCTGCAGACGTATTTGTTACAAGGCTGTTAGATGCTGAAGCTCCTTGGGAAAATCAAGCAAAGCTTCAAAATGGAATTCAGCCCAAATAAGTCTGTAGAGAGTGAGGTAGAACAGGATGATGGGCAGATGAAGAGGCCAAAGGCTGAGATGATGCAGCTTTCTGATATTTTGACCTGATCCAAGGATAAAACTAGCTGGAAAATAATAATGAACAAACACATGTTCTTTTAATAATT